AAAGGTGGTCCGACAGTGGACGCTTGATGACTATCGTGGTGACAATGATGAGGCAATGATGGCTCGACGACTGTGGAGACAATGAACGATTATTGGTGTTCCGATGGTGGAGGCGATAGGAACGTAGTGGTTTAGTAATGACAAAGCAATGACTGTGGAACTCCAGAATCCTCAAGAGCTTGAAGCTCCCTTCAGCCTTCCCATCCATATCCCCCCCCTCCCCCCTTTATAAAGGGAGCGGGGTCTCTTTATAAAATTTGGAAGTGTCATTCTCCATAAATACAACACATATCAAGACCACTTTATCAAACGGCTCAAAATAATTCTCTTTAGCGGATGTATTTTATGTGTATTTGAATACTTTAATGACATCAAAATTATGTGATTTGGACTCGTTGGTTTCGTCTCATCAAGAGGCTCTATTTGACTATTAAATTGCTAAATTTGCAGATCATCGGGTCCCCAAAATATATCTTAAAGCTTATTATTATGCTTTGAGTGCATGATCTAGGCTCAAATGAACTTAGATCGGACCGTTTTTTATATTATTTGGTTTGTCTCACCGAGACACTTCACTTGATCATAAATTAGAGTATGTGTTTTTTCCAAATTTGATTTTGAATCTCATGATCTAAAATGCACAGAGATCCATGCTCAAATTGTTAGGTTGCCATCTTACCACATAAAAAAACATAGATAATATTCAATAAAAATAAAATAACAAATATACTCTTAATTTAAATCAAAATAAAAATAACATAAAATTTTTAAAATTAATCTAAAAAAGCCCTTTTTAATCAGCCAAACTCACTTTATAATGAATTATCCATGCTAAAATTAACTCATTTTCATTAATTTTAAATTCGAGTGAGAGCACCTCGAGAGGTGTGATATAAAATTTAATTTGAATTGTTCTTGTAATATTTTAAGGGAGTTAAAAAGTTGATGAAAACGATGGGGAAGATGCAATAGTTAGGTTGTGATGATATGGACAACTCACATAGTTAGGTTGTGATGATATGGACAACTCACAACAATTGTGCATGCGAAAGATATTATTCTGAAAAGATCTTGCTAAAGTTCCTTTCAGGATAAGAAATGGTAGCCTTTTTTAAGTTTATATTAATGTACGTTCCTTCTATGGTCCTTAATTTTTTTTTGGTTTTTTCTTATATGAGAAGTTTGGTAATGTTATTTTTAACTGAATTAATTACCTTAATTTTACTAAAATTTATGATATCATTTCGAATAAGAGTTAAGATTTAGCTTATGATTCTAATATCTATTTATATTGTCTCAGCAATATTCTTCTTATTAATATATTGGAGGGTCTTACTTATTTTGGATTTAATTATTACACTCACAAGTTCTTTTATTTTGACCGAGGATAAAATTTACTTTACAAAGATTGGAGTGAGTGAGTGCGATTTAAGGGTCATGCTATCAAATTGTTTTTCTTTCTTGAAAAAGTTTTTACATAGTGGTCTTAAAATTGCTCATATTTTATTTCATAGAAGGGTTGTTGTTAATCTGAATTGTTGTTTGTGTTACGGAATATGTTTATAAAACTCTATATCATCTTAGGAGTCATTTCTTTTGGCCAAGGACGAAGCAAGATGTCACGGGATATGTTCAGAGTTGTCTGATTTGCCAGGCCAGTAAATACCAAGCCCTCACACCAGTCGATGCCTTTCAACCCTTCCCAGTTCCAGCAGCACCACGGGATGATGTAACTATGAACTTCATTTTTCACCTTCTATTAGCAGAAGATAAATCTACAATCATGACAGTTGTTTATCACCTAACCAAGTATGCTTTATGAAGACCCATTATTGCTACCATATTCATCTCTAAAATTTTTCACCATCATGGCATCCCAAAGACCATTGTATCTGACAGAGACACCATATTCACGATCTCCCTTTAGCAAAGCCTCTTTAAGGAAATGTGCACCCATTTAAATTACAACACCGCTCACCATCTGCAGACGGAAGAAATAAAAATTACAAATAAAATTCTTCAGGAGTATTTATGTTGTTACATCGTGTCCTTTAGTGTCATGTTATATATATAAGTTCGAATAATTTTTTTGACAGATGGCCCCTTACTCGGCCGGACAACTCACTAATGGACGAGAATTTCATTTCCACGAATGAGCCCAATAACTTCTTTATTAATAGGCCCATCTTATAAGAAGCCTTAATTTTTAATGCGTTCCTCTCATTTATTTAATTTTTAAAGAACCTGTTAATGAACCCACAGAAAAAGGATAAAAAAAAGAAGAGGCTAGAAGTTTTTTAATATAATGGTATAATCGAATAAAAGAAACTCTATATGATCTAACACAAAACTTTGATGCATTTTGGATCACTTTTATATTTAAATTGGTTATTTGAATTCAAGTTTCAATAAATAATGTTATAGTTAAATTGAATAATTTGATAATATAAAGATGATGATTCCGAAAGTTATTCAGTTTGAATCCAAAATCAAATTTAAGCATTTGAGGTGTGATTATAAACTTCAAAAGAGTTAAATAAATGATCTAACAATTGCTTAATTTGACATGGATATAGTCAATTTTAACATCTTGATTTAAAGAAACCAACAACCTCAAAATCAGCCATATAATTTTGAAGTCGTTTAGACATTCTTTAAAAATGATTCAATACAAACTATTAGATAGAGTCTTTTGGGATTTTGGATAAATCTATCAAATCGTCCTTAAAATTATAGTTATACTTTAATTCTTTACATGAGAGGGGAATTGTAACCTATCTAAACTCTCAAAGAACTTAAAGCCTTCAACAAATAATATTAATCGACCATCACTGACAACAGTCGTGGCTTAATTATTATTATAAAGTTATTGTCGTCTAATTATTATATTCATGCTATTATTATTATATAAATGTTTTCATGTTGTTGTTGCCTAATTACTGTTGATGCATGCTAAAAATTTCACGGTGGTAGAGTAATGATTATTTATCATTTTAACATCGTACAAAAAACCAACACGAACTCAGGTAATTAAAGAGAAGAAAACATGAGGAGACACCTCGACTTTTTATGTGGAAAACCCTTGAAAGAGGAAAAAATCATTAGGTCTAGTTCAGTTAAAAAAATTCACTATTAATAATGAGTACACATGCCCACTCTTCCTCCGAATTAAAGAAGATGAAATTATAAAGTTGTATATTCGTAATATGATTATAATTTTTGACGACAATAGACTGAGTCATAGTTGATTACCACAAAGGTGGTAGTCCATTGTAAGTGCTGTAGACGGTCGCTATAATGTCTACTTATCGTAGAAGTCATAGTTGATAACCATGATAGTAGTTCGTCAGGTGACCTGTAGATGGTTGCTTCAGGTGTGTTGATTGGCCATAAAAGTTGTAGCAATGAGCCGTGAAGACGTTTGTGCGTTATAGAAGTCAAAGTCAGGAGATGCACGAACAGTGGACCATGTAGGTCGTAGCTGTGAGTAATAATGACGTATGTAGTATGCGAGGGCCGAAGTTAGGAGCTGCACAATCTGTGTACCACGTAGACAGTAGTTGGTTACGTTGGTGGTAGTGGCCAGTTTCAACGATGTTCGTAGTTCACAGAGGTCGGAGTCGGAAGTTGCACGAGCGTATGGGAGTTGTGTCATTACCCAATCTTTGAAATGCGTTATCACAACGTTTTGGGGTGCGTTGTTGCATTATCTTTGGGGTCAGCTCGGTGTTCGAGAAGATGTGTCACTTTGCAGGTTGCATCATGACTCTATGATGTTAATTGTTGTTTCACACAATGCTTCATCGCAAGGAAAGGGAGGCGACCAATGGTGATCGACAGTAGCCAACAAATGGTGGTCGGTGGCTGCTGGAGTAGGAGACAACTTCAACTTTTTCTCCAAGCTTTAGTCTTCTCAGTTTCCAAGCTCTCTCCAAGCATCAATCCCCACGTCCTCTCTCAAGAGGAGGGTATGCCTCTAGTTATAGAATCCCCGTTGCAATTAATGAAAGAATATGAACGACTTTGATCAACTCTCGATTAGACAGTATTTGATGAATATTTGAGTGTCTTAACGAATTGAAATTGAGCAATCTTGCAATCGTTGGATTTTTCTCGCTAAGAAGCTCGATTCAACTATAATGTCGCCATATTTGACATCTTTTTGACCTTTCAAATATGTTTAGAAAGCTTTCAAAAATGATTTAATTGCTCAATTGGGGTTTGATTTGATTCTGATTTGACTAATTTTAATATAATTTGGTCCGTCTATAAATTTGCTGAAATCAGAGCTCTTACTGAGTTTTCATTGAAGATTGAACATTTATTTCTTAAACGATTGCATCTAAATTAGTGTCATGCCTCAACATGTATTTAACTTTGTTATCTAAATGAGTCATTTTCATACACAACACATTATTCTTATGTATTTACATATCTCACCCCTAAAATATCATATTTACATGCATAAAACTCAAATCTTTGATATCATATCAAAAAATTATGCTTATTACTTTTTAAAAATGAAATACATCTCTTCATCCATAGATTTAAAGCAAAAAAAAGGCTATATATGTAAGTATGAAAGTTTAAGAGTGAGGTATGTAAATATATAAAAAAATTTATTTTACCTATATATATTCTCTAATAAATATTACTCAATCTTCTACAATTAGAGAGAAGAGTAAATTCCATGACTTTAATTTTGATTAGACTAAATCCCTTACATTTTTTATTTTAATATTTCAAATAAAATTCTGATTATCTTTACCATTTCCATTCAAAAGCCAATATCTATTAATGACTATCCTAGTGATAACATATTTTCTCAACACCTGATAATTATTTTAATTTATTTTAACATTTTTTTCTCCAATCACTAAAGAAAAGGGGTAAAAAAATTGGACTTTTATCCATAATTAATTAATTATTCAGAATATTTTCCTCGTCTATGCATTGGCAATCACGCATGAGCTTTGAATTATAAACAATGGATTGAACGTGCGCTGTCTTTCTGTAAATAAATTTAATCCCTCGCTCAATCGAGCAAAAATTCAATTTACTAATTTATCCTCCCATGGCTGAAGAAACCCTAACCACTTCCATGGTCGCCACCGTCTCCGGCGCTAGAAAAATCCCTTTCCGCTCCAAAAAGATACGCACATCCTCAACCAATTCCTCCTCAGCCTCCGAACCCTCTAAGAAACCCCGCCTCCTCCTCCCCCTCCCCCTTCCCCTCTCCCTCTCCATCGCCGGCGAGCTCGATTCCGCCCTCCGCCATCTCACCACGGCCGACTCCCAACTCGCCGCCATTATCAAATCCTTCGAACCCCCCTCCTTCGACAACCTCAACACGCCCTTCCTATCTCTTTCCCGCAGCATCCTCTACCAACAGCTCGCCACAAAGGCCGCCGCAACAATCTACGCCCGCTTTCTTTCCCTCTGCGGCGGCGAATATTCCGTCGTCCCCGACGTCGTTCTTTCTCTTACCCCGCCGCAGCTCCGTCAAATTGGCGTCTCCGCCCGCAAGGCCTCGTATCTTCATGACCTCGCAAGCAAGTACCAATCCGGATTCCTCTCTGATTCCGCCATCGTCTCTATGGACGATGAAACCCTTTTTTCCAAGCTTACGATGGTGAAGGGAATCGGGCCTTGGTCTGTCCACATGTTCATGATCTTCTCCCTTCACCGACCGGACGTGCTTCCTGTGGGCGATCTTGGCGTTCGCAAGGGCGTTCAGATTCTTCATGGACTGAAGAAGATTCCCGAACCAGCGGAGATGGTGGAGCTCTGCGAGGGGTGGAGACCGTATCGGTCGGCTGGAGCTTGGTACATGTGGCGGCTTGTTGAGGCCAATCGAAAGGCCGGAAAGGCATCGATTTGAAGAGCTGTAGATGTGGCGGTGAAGCTGGATCTCTGTATTAGCTTCAGCGGCCCAACTGATGAGATATAACGAAGATAATGGATTGCTATTATAGTATCTGTGCAAACAGTGGAACTAAATTATGCAAGCTGTAAGCTTATTTGAACTCCAGTGCTGTTTGATTCTTTTCTTCGTTCATAACCAGTGTTAATCATCCGAAGAACTTTCAAATCCTGATTTTTAGATATGTAAATCAAATTTGTCAAAATTACTTGTAGTCTTTTTCATTGAAGTTTGAGACCGGCGTTATTGACTATTACGCCACCTAATTCGAATTTCTGTGCTCAATACAATCACAAATCATAAGATGACGCTTTAATGGAAATATCTAAGAAAAAATCTATATAAAAAATAAGAGTATTTTGAAGAACAATTTTCAACTTCGTGATTAACATGTATTTAAGGAATCGAATTTTAGATCAGCTCTGTTGCAAATGGTTAACACGTTTTGCTCTAAGGTGAAAACAGTCAGATGTTGAAGTTCTCACAATGAAGAATTTTTTTGCTTCAAACAAAGTGCTAAGAGTTATAAGATTAGACAATGAGAAGTTTAGCTCTCAACCTGGAGTTGTCAGGTTTTAGAGGTTTTAGAGTACTTGGCTATAAAGATCAGTCTTCAACGAAGGTTTTATGAGAAAGAATTTTGACATGACAAACACAACGTTGATTAATTGAAAATCGTAGGAAGAAATTCGTAACTATAGATTATCAGGAAGAAGATTTGAGTTGAAAATAAAATAACGTGTGGCATATATGTAGAAACTGAAGTCTTGGTGTTAGATATGGTAATACATTGGAATTTAGTGGTATGCATGTAAATCTTCCATTCATTTATTTTTCTTGCCTCTGTCTGTTCTATAAATAACATGCACCTTTCCATCTTCATTTCCATGCTTGACTTGAGCCTGCCCAATCACCCAACCACCAAAAAAAGGTCGATTAACACGAATATATTTCTACTACCAAATGAAGAGAAGGAAGTCCACTTGAAAGGAAAAAGAAGTCGTTATTTTTTTCTATTATATTGTTATCACACTAAATAATATATTTTTTAATCTCTTGTATACAAACAAATATGGTGATATTTGGTATTATCCTGTATAGTAATTATAATCCTGACTGCTTGTTGGGATTAAAAATTGTTTTGATCTGAGCCGGTGCTTCTTGATAAATGAAATATGATGTGAATTTTTTTTTTCAAATCTTCTTTATTGTAGTCGTGGAGCTTTTTTTATTATATTTTCTTGAATTTGATGCAACATGTAAGTGCGAACAGTTTATGTAGGTGTTTTGACATGAAGTTCCTACAACCAACTAATGTTTCTTCTTCCAAAACTAATAAGAAAATGAAGCATTTTATTGGAGCTTGAAGCCATAATTGATAGCAGGTTTACTTCATATTCTATCGGAATATGTGGATGCCAAAGGTTTTAAAGATGTTATCTCTCATGTCGTTGCACAAAAGTTAAAAGAAAATTTTGGAATAGATGTAACAGTCGAACAGTGTAAAAACCAACTCCAACATCAGAGGAGTATATGAGTCATATTCAACAACTTAGAAAAAAATCAGGTGTATCATGGGATGAGGATAAGAAAATAATTTTGATGGGTCATGAGGAGTATGTGTCACATATTCATGTATTTCTTTAGAGTAATTATCATTTTCTTGGTATTCATGTTTTCATATATATATATATATATATATATATATATATATATCTAGACCTTCCCAAAAGATGTTGCTTATTTGAATGTAACAATTGCAAATTATTTGGAGTTAGAGAAAGTTTGTTGTGATGGACATGCTACTGAAGACTGGTCTAAATCTGGGAATTTTAACATTCCAATTGGGGTAAAACAAATCAACTTTGAAGAAGATGACTTATTAAGTTTTGTTGAGACTGATGTATTGATTCAACACAAGCTACTAATATTTTGAATTTTGATAATGAAAAGGTTGCAACGGGAAAGATAAATTGACAAATGTTAGTGTCTTCAAAGAGATGTGTTTCACAAAAGAGGAAGAAAGTGTTTGTGGTCGATCAAAGTCTCCGGCTCGATGAGAGGGACCTAATGATATCAAAGTTAGTCCAATCCGAGTCAAATAAAGCCCGGATCAAGTCATTTTGGAAGATTCCTGGACAAATTTGGAAGGTCAAACATAAGTCGACTCTGACAAGTTCATAGTCGAATCGAACGTATCGACAAAACAAATCTACGAGCCCAAGATCATTCAATTCTGACATCATTAAGACATTTAATTGTCCATTAAGCATCGTCTGATTGAAGGAAGTTATTCGCTTTTCAATCCAAATAATTTATATTTCTGCATTAATTGCACACATAACACTATAAATAGAGCCTCACCCCTCTCATGAGGAGGAGCTTAAGCCTAGAGAGAGAGCCTCAGGCCTTGAAGAGCTACAGCTCAGCATCACCGTCGACCGCCAGCGATCATCGTCGACCGTCAACCACTGTCGACAACCGTCGATCATCGTCAATCGTTGTTGTCTATCGTCAACCGCCGTCGACTACAATCAACCTTCGTTGACTACCGTCATCCATCGTCGACCACCGCCGACTTTCGTCAACCACCACCGACCTCCGTCGACTGCCGCGGACCACAGTCGACCATCGTTTGCCGTTGTCGATCACCCCCGACCTTCGTTGACCTCCACGAACCGTCGTCGACCACCGCTGATCTCCGTTGACTTCCGTCAACCGTCGTCGACCACTGCTAACCACCACCAACCAGACATTAGCAGTCGACGCTGTAATCTGAAAAATATAATTACCCTTTTCTGTCTGTAGAACAGAGTATTTTTGTTTTCATCAATCAATAGTGAATTTTTGCAACTGGGTCAGAACCCGTGATTTTTTTCTTTACGAGTTTTTCATGTAAAAACTTTTGAACTCCTCACTACTCGTTTCTCTTTCATCTGTGTGTGTTGAATTCTCGTAAAAAGCTAAGATGATAATATGTTACTCTACCGCCACAAATGTTCTAGCACATATCAATGTTCATTGTTTTGAATTGGAGACTGACACAATTCTTGATATTCCTACCGACTTTCTGGTTTCTCTCATTAAGCAGAACATGTTATGGTTCTCGATTTGCATCTTTTTGTTATTTATTAAATTTTATATAAAATTGCTTCTTTATGTTATCAAACTTTAGGTGTTAGATATGTAAATACAAGTAGGAATTGGGTTGTATGTTTATAAATGTAACATAATTTTGGGTGTTTTATATAAATATAGCACCCAAAACTATGGTTGTTATATATAAATGTCATTTGGGTTGATATTGTTACCAAATGAGTTTCCCATTAAAATCAAGTCCGACACAAGGGACTTATCCATATATTTATATATCTAAACCTAATTCTTACATACTTCAATCATGAAACAGTTTTCAGTGGGTATTAATGTAATAATCTAATATTAGGTTTTAGATATGTAAATACAAATATGACTTGGGTGGTATGTATGTAAATATATCTAAATTTTGGCTGTTATATATTAAGTTGGCCTTCTATTTAATATATAATATTTTAAAATAAAATGGTTAATTCATGAAAAATAAAAACTTTTTACTCATTTTACACAATAAAACAGCTTACAGGTATTCAGAACACTGCGTTTTTACTTTACTTTCTATTCATTTAACCAAATAAAAAAAATAATTTATCTGTATTTAATTTATAAACAACCAAATAGTTTCAATATATTAAGAATATAATGCAATCAGAGTACTCTGTAAATAGTTTACATTGCACTTTATTTTCAACAAATCAAACAACCTCTAAAAAATCTTCATTTTGAAAACTTAATATTAGGCTGGGATGGTGGTGGCTCATACTGTAGATCCCGTATCCATTTGCATTTTGATTCCTGATCCCTTTCATGCATATGAAGTATTAAGTTTAGTTCAATATAACTGTTGCACATAAAGCGCATTATTGCGTTCCTTCACATTGAAAATACTTGATTTAAAAGGCCTATTTTGATAAATAAATTTGCTTGAAATAAATTCAAATAATAATAAAGAAACCCAATTTTAATTAGTTCCCTTTGATCAACACTCTGTTTTTAAAGCACAATGATTTTCATGTTAACACGTAAAATGAAAATTAAAAAATGTTAGAAGGGCAATATAGTTCAAAAGTGAAAATAAAAATTGTAAAAAGCGCACAGAAACAATTAATGCAATGGAAGTGAGTTGGCAATTAAGCTAATCATAAGCTCTCACTCATAAAAATGATGTCTGTCGTAATACTTAAGATGGAGACCTAATGGATCTCATAGTTCTAAAATAGGAAGATTTACATACTTACCACTCAATTCCTCTGTATTTACATATCTAACACCTAAACTTCAGTTTGTACATATATGCCACCTTAACTATGCATGAAAAAGTGTATTTCACTTTCCAAAAGTTTAAATGGTGGTATTTTTAATGTGATATGAATGATTTGGTTGGTATTGATGTAAAAAAAAAAGTTTAGTTAGATATGAATTTGGTGGTATGTATGTAAATGCCCGTTAAAATATTTATTGTTCTTACCTCTACTACTCGGTTTGTAAGTGTGGGAGGAAGAGGTCCTAATTATAGAGCTGATCATCCTCCTTTGATTTGGTGAGGTTGAGAATGGTAGCACGAACAGCCTTGTGGTCAACATCAAACATCATAGAGGTTGAGAGTTCATTATCTGAAGGGGGGAAATGATTGGCTACTCTATTCAACTGAATGGGACTAAGAGGAGCAAACCATTAGAATTTGATTAAAATGTCGTCATTTAGAAGGAGTGGCATTTCCAACTCGGGTAGTGGTGCAAATATTTCAATGCTAGTAGGTGTATTTGACTCCAATAGAGAAGAAATTTTTGCCTCTGAATTTAGCTTACTGTGGCAAGTTGAATCAACAAATTCATGAAGGAAAAGAGGGATTTTAAGGGGTTCATGAATTTTGGGATTAATGTCATAGTTAAGTACTAGTGCTGGTAAAAAAAACCCTCACCAATAGATTT